AACTGCTGACCGTCGCTTCAACCGATCGTAACACTTTGACAGAAAGCTATTAGCAACGGTACCGTCCGAGAGGCAATCATAATTTTTTCCTAGTTTTACTAATTTCATCGATTCAACCGCTTGGAATAGAATAATCAGGTCTTTTTGAATTCGAATTGATACTCGGGAGGTTCGAGGAGCGTCTGAAAAGTTTTCCGCTCGCAAAGGATCCCTTAAGGCGCGCGACTCGCCGCTAATGAAGCCGTCGATCCTGGAGGCGCGGGTATCTTTGATCAACGTCCCATCGTTTTCCACGTCCATAATGGACCCGTAGCGTAGCCTCGTCAGAGCTGGTTGCTACTCGAAGTAGGCGTCACGCGCGTCATAAGAATGCGATAAGACGCGTGTCACGCCGGCGGACAATGCAAAGCCGTTCCGTTTCTTCGTTCCATTCCGAGAGGCATCGGGGACCGTTGGCGGCGGTGTTCGGCAACGCCGATACCCATACGCGACCTCTTCGGAACAGGAGCGTCGCCCGCTTCTGACCTTATTCCACTAAAACGTACGCGGCTCGCATGTTAAATTCCCCGTCGTCCGAGCGTGATCCTTTCGTCCGATCGGGTCAAGGCACCGCGAACTTCGTGCGTCCGACTTTACGTAAGACGTCGAGTCTTGGTGTTCGATTCGAAAGCGTTTCCTCGAATCGCATGCATCGTGCGCGTATGATAAAATAATCCGAGGAAGCTGGAGGGTTGACAGGGCACGGTCGAATAAATTTTGGGGGCGGGCGAACCACTAATGGGGCATTAAATAAAAATATTCATTGGCGAGCGAAAGGACGGAACGCAGGGGCGCGGCTTACAGTTTTATGGAGCTTAATTGTAAGCGGAACGTGGAGTCGCCGTTTCCCCGGCTCCGGACATTAATTCAATTCGTATCGTTTCGGGAATTATGGTCGTTCGAGAAAAATTTCCCTCTGGGAATGAGAAGTCTTCGAGACTAGTCGAAAATCGTGCAAGCACCCGAAAGAGGAAAAGAAAACGAAGAAGATTCTGAGAAAGGGTGTCAAATGGGAAAGAAGGAACAAGGTGGACCATCTCCGGTAGCGGTTAGCGCGAAAATAAAATAAGGATGAAAGGAAATTAAAGACAGGAAAAATAAGTCGGCCCTTATCTCGTCCTCGTCCCGTTTCGTTTGGCCTATGCATATTCAGGAGGCTCGTAGGCTCTTCTTCGTCCCTCGTTTCTCGGCTTTCCCTCCCTCTGGCAACGTAAACTCTACGGAGCCGGCATCCCTCCTGATTCTCGTGGTTGGTAGCATCGTACCACGGCCGAGAGTCTATACTTACCTACGTCCGCCACCCGTTAATTCCGAGCCTTCCTTCTTTAATTGCACCGCCACGATAATAACACCGTGTACCAATGTATTGTGCATCTACAGGGTGTCCAGCGATACCTAGCACCCACTCTAGGAATCGATTCGACGCTCGAAAACAATCGAGAAAGGTTACATTTCATCGAGATAACGATAAGGTGACGGTAGTGACGCGTTATCAAAGTCTCTTAAAGGAAACGAGGGGCAGTAGGGTCGTGCCGAGTCGGAAGACTAAAATCGACGGGTAATTAGTATGCGCCCTGTCGCGTCGCGGTGCCCTGCGGGTTGTCCTTAACGCGCGACGACTCGTTGCGCTCAACAGAAACTCGCTTCCTCTTTCCCGCGATGGCCGATCAGGAAAAAAAAAAAAAAACGAATCATGAATATGCATCACGCAGACCGAGCCACGACCGTTTGCCGGTATTTCGCACCCGGCTGCGAGGCTCCACGATCGTTCGGGTCATCCTGTATTGTGAACCGCATGGCCATTCGACTTGTACCTGGCGAGTGCAGTTGCAGTCGGAGCTGCAGTTGTTCCCACTCACCTGCCGCGGCACGATCTAACGTATCTAGCAAACGAAAGATACGCCACGCGTTCCTTTCATCGAACCAGAATTTTCATCGAGATATAACGGTTCTTCCGAGCCTTTTCATTCTCTTCCCGATATTTTTCCGATATATTAAAATAGCGACAAATAGCTGCGACTCGAATTTCTCGAAATGCATTCACCGTAAAACGGTTCGAAGGAAATCGTGAAACGTCCAGGAGCGAACGAGTTAGAAATTAGAATATCGACGGTTACGTTGGGAAAATCGGGGCAGCAGGGAATAGGTGAGCGTGGTAGAGTTTATAAAAGGAGAAACGGCAAGCAGCGGTGGAGTGTCGGCGAGGGCAGGCCCGCGGCATGGCAGGAAGGAAACGCGAAATAAATACAGCGTGGCAAGGGAAGGGGGTGAGGGTGAGGAAGCGGCATGCGCTGGGTCTCCGGCTAAAGTCCGGGACTGGAACTGGAACTGGACGGTAGTCCGGCCAGAAAGATACATATTTTTAAATATTTTAGTCACGGTTCGCAATCGCCTCGTCACGCAGCCTTGCCACCTACTCGCTGCTACCCATTACGTACCTGCTAGTTCGCTAGCTACGTGGCTGGCCATTGCCGCGGCATACCTACACCGCATCTCATTCCCCGCACCTTGCCGTCGTACACAACCCTCTTCCTCTTCGTCTTCCTCTTTTCCTTTCCCTACATTTTTATTCCATTCTTTTCACCTTTACGCCGCCACGGACTTCTTCTTCGCGTTACTATGGACGATCTCGGGTGCGCTTTCACAGTAACTTGTTCGCTCTGGCACGATAGAAACGGTTAAGTAAGGCATAGGCATGAAACAGCAAACGTGTATTTTTTTATGATTTTATTTATGAGTAACGACAGCTGGCATTCAACATTTCCTTAGTACATACACTTAAACGAATTGGAAGGATCGCATTCCAAAGGACGATCGAGGTTCGATATCGAACGTTGTTCCTGGCGAGTTTACAGCTACGTAGATCGTGCGTTCTCCTGCCTTGACAATGAGTGATCTGGTTTTAATGAAGCGCGGCAATTATCGCGCATAGCGACGCGTTGCATTATTCATACCGCTTCGGCTTATCTCGTTTTATCTGTTACACCGATACCTTCGCCAGTAAGATGTTTACGATTTTCAATTCGTTTCATGCGTTTTGCACGTTCGTTCGTTCGTCGAATCGCGCGATTAACGAGAAAAAATGACAGGACGTTTGTACGGTTGCGTTTAATATCGTCCTTTCAGCTTGCGTAGGATTAAATTAATAAGTAAGATCATTTTTCGAGCGAAATTTCCGTGCACGCGAGCCGTGTTTAATATTTTGTCACACATCCCCGGCTCGTTTCGTTCGTTGCTGATCGAAATCGCGGCTGGAAACGTACTCGAGCACTCATTATTCGAACGAAACGCCGCGTCATCGCGTCTCGCGCGGCTGCCCCGTTTATCCGAAAGCCGGCGCGGCGTTTAATTAAAACTCGACGGGATCGGGATGAAAAATTAATTCGGTCACGTAACGATGTAAAGCAGCGATCGCCGTTGCATCAGCTCCGCTAATTATTACAAAACGGGTGGGCAAAAATTCGCTGGTTTATACCGCGAACCCAGCGAGCATAAATATTTGAAAACGAGGGAAGAATTTATACGAGTCGCGTGAAACGATCGTTCGATGTCGCGGAAAATCGTACCGAAAGGAATATGACTGGGAATCCCTAAAAATACAGCGGAGAAGAAGAAGGGAAAAGAAAGAAATAACAGGGATAGGTTCGACGGCAGGCGGTTCGAACCGAACACGAATCGGGAACGCAGAAAACAATGGGGGCTGGTCGGGGAATCTGTCGCGAGTCTGTGACCTTATAAGCACGCGGCGGACCTCGACGACAGAGGTAGATTATTCGAATGGAAAAAAGAACGTCCGCGAAGAAGCGAAAGGGAGAAACCGAAAACGGAGAGGAAAAATCGTTTTTTTTTTTTTTTTAAACACTCGCTGTCTCCTTGGAATTAATTCTCCGAAAAAAGTATACTTCATCTTGAAGCGATTCGACCTTACCTAGTTTCTTTAAGTAGCCGCTTGGATCTCGCGAGGATCCCAAGAGCGGTCGCGAGAAACACCCGGTCTGACACGAATTTAACGAGTAGACGCGTGATTAAGGGGTGGCACGGCTGCCACCAGCCGAAAGAAACGGTGAGCTTCGCCGAGAGGAGGGTGGTTAGTGTTGGCGATGTTGGCAGAAGGAGAGGCCGATGTAGCTACGGGGTGGTTTGGGGTGGAAATGAAGGCAGCGTGGCTGGAAAAATGCGAGCCTCCGTCTCCCCGCATATATTTCCATACATCAGCCCCGTCCAAGTTGAGCGGCAGCGAGCGGAAAGAGCGGGCGACCGGTCGGCCCACCGGCTGGAGACTGACGACCGCAGAAAGAAGAGCAGCACCGCTGGATAAGGGGAACCAACGGAATAAATCCAACTAATTAGACGAGGAAAAACCGCGGATTAATTACCCGTCGCCTTCGTCTCTTCTTCTTGCGCCCTCCTTCCGGCCGAACCGACGATGGAAAACGATTTTTCATCGCGACGCCCGACGTTTCTTTGTTCGCCGATCGATATCCGCCGATGACGGTGGTTTTTGAAAATGTACTGCCTTACGAGCGTCGCGTGGCAAATGTAAAGAGGCGCGAAGTAAAAATAGGGTGACAGTCGGCGAGCGTCGAGGGTTTTGGCCCGGTTGTCGGTGGACGATCTACGGCGTCGCGTCGTGCTCGTCTACGCGTACGCACACAAACTGCTAAGCTTTTCTCGCGACTCGGAGTGTTTGCGAGCCGTTCGAAAGCTCTCGGGTTGCAGGAAGCCGCGCGGGAGACGCCAGCAGCGCGACGATGGAAGGTTGAAATGCAGATTTCGCGCGGCTCTCGAGCCTCGAAAGCGTCTCTCCGCTTACTATCTCCCTGTTTGCTCCGCTCTCACGCCTCCTTCTCCATCTTTTCCCATTCACCCTTTTCGCACGACTTCACCGTTCCCTCTTCGGTCTTCGGACCTTTCTTACCCTTCCAGCTTGGATTTACTTAAAGCTTTACACTTTACCCCAGGTGTCTTCCCGCGAGGACAGAGATCGTGGTGGTGTCAGGAAATCGACAAATCGTAGATAGAATAAAGCAATGGAGAAAGGAAGAGAAGGAAGGTCGAAAGGAGGATAAAACGAGTCGCGTCATTGCTGGCCAGGGCTTAAGTGATCGATGGCGTCGGCCGTTATCTTCGCCACCCCCGCCTGGCTGCCGTGGTAATTCATCATCTCGGTCTGTTTTTCACTTACTTTATATGCAACATATTCCGTAATTTTTATTCAGTCAACCGGCCGCCCCGAGTAGCAACCCCTAACCGTGGGCCAGCTCGTAAAACAACGAGCTGCCTCCTCGGTCCAACGGACCATCCACCGACAACCAAAAAGAGCAAGGGTGCTACGGGGTGGCTGAAAGACGACGTAGGACGTAAGAAAGGGCGCCGCGGTGCCCTCGCGTTTTCTTTTCCTCTCGAGCGGTGTACTGGTCGCAAAGTCCGAGGGGTTACGCAAGCCGCACTCTATATGCTAAAGAATCTCGATATGGAGATGCGCGGCTCGACTCATCCCCGACCGGTCAGTTTGATTTATTGGCTCGAAATCGGCCACGCTAAATTTCGGGGAAAATATGCTGTCCCAGGCGGCGCTATCCCCGCTACCGAACCTCCCACGTTTTCCAACGTCATTTCCATAAAATGAATTATTAGACCGACGGATACGTCAGTGGATGCGCTGGATGGCGTAAATCGGAATCCCGTCCTTCGTCTTCTACGCGGAAAAACAAGCTGTTGGGAAATTTGCTACTCGAGTGAGATTATCGGCCGTTCTTATCGACGGACATTCGTTTCGGTATTTTTCTGGCGACAAACGTTACCCTTGTGTCCGCGTGACGGTTACAGTCACGGTCGTTCCACGCTCGTGTCACCCTTACCGGTGTCGGGCTGTGAAAGCATCTGACGCAGACGGTGCCATCGGGCTTTCGGCTTCAGGCTTCGGCCTCCGGGCCCTGCCACTTTTTAGATCGTATCGCGGAGGTCACGGTGCTTATGTACCGGTCGCTAACATATTTTTAAGTACCGGCGATACCGTCTACCAGTGCGGTGCTGCCGGACACGGACACGGACACGGCCACCAAAGGAAACGATATCGTAGTGGACACCGGCGAGTCTCTTCGTACACAGAGCCTGCAGACGCTACACGCTCGCCGACGAGATGGCACCTGTCGCGCAAGGTGTTCCTAAACTCTTTTCTACGTAAAACTTCGTCAACGATCCTCGAAACTGCCTCTTAATCATCGCACTACCTGCCTCGACGGCTAACTGCACCGTTCTACTTAATAACAGGCCGAGCATGAAACGGTTGAAAATATTCGCACAAAGTGCTAATGAGATTAATCCGCAATTTTATGTTGAAAATAAAATAATAGCCAGTGGTCGGAGAGATATCGTCGGGACCATACGAAGATACTTTATTTCATTGACTGTTTGGTACTCGAACGATCGTAAAATTGCCTGGCTATAAAGAAGGACCGTAAAATCGAGATGCTACCCGCAAGCTAATGTACTGGAACGACGCGGCGAGAGTCCTTAAAGGGACAAACGTGTCAACCGGGATTCTCTCACGGTTCGAACTCGAGAATCGATAAGGATGCGATTGAAAGCGTAAACTTGCACTGACGTCACGTGTGTAAAGAGATCGTGTAATAATTGAAACGGAATCGGTTGAAAGGAATCAGCTGTTGGGTGGCCGGTGAGAGAAAGAAAGGTTGGCGGTTCCGCGAGCGAGCGAACGCAGGTGAAACGGTTGCGACGGTGAGCAGGTGGACCAACGATGTTCGGCGTGTGCCACGGGCACACGAGGAACGCCGATGACCTCGAGACCACGGCAATCGGAGAGATCCCTGAGCGAAGCGGAGAGCCGGTTGCAGCTGCGCTTTGTCGCTTCGAAGACGCGCAAACGAACGGATAGGCGCGTAGAACAAGCAGGGGTGTACTCGTAACGCCTGCGACCAGTGATTAACGGTCGAACCGTATGCTGGTTGCGACGTGGGAATCAATTACAACGCTACCGACGTCAACGCTAGTTTCTGATATTCCGACGAATTGCACTCTGTCCTCGCCATGTTGACGCTCTAATCGTGAGTACCGACACGAAGGTTTCTATGATAGAGGGAAGAATCAGTCAATTTATATTTGCCACCGTTTCGGATATTATACAAACACATTCGACACACGATGGACGACTAAAAATAAAAACTCGTATCGAACAAGCGATTCGAGCTCGAAGAGTAAAGGAAGGATTAGCTTGCAAGGATTCTCAGGATAAAGGATCGCGAGGAGGATAGTTTCCCAGATTCCTACGTTATCGCTGGGGTAAGATAGAGCTTTCGTCTGGAAGGGTAGCTGGGTGAGAATCGGGGATGCGAACCCGTTAAGGGCAAGTAGATCCCTGCAGGCGAGCTTGCGGTTCGTTCCGGTACAGACTGGCGGAGCTTTCGTGGCAAGCAGCGCCTTGCCTTGGCAACTTCCGGCAGCTGGCTTCCCCGCGAACCTTGCCCGGAACCGCAGTTCCGGGGCAAGTTAGCGCGACACGACGTGATCCCTTCTTTATCGGCGCTCCCAGGACGCCCGTCGCCGTTATCTTCTTCGTCGAGTCGCGCCGTCCCGTCCGGACTCGAGTCAGAACAGGAGCGAAAGAGAAGAAACGAGAGTGAGGAGAGTCGAGGAGAAGGCGGATAGGAAGTCGACGACCGGCGTCATAAGGAGATATCGCGCACGATAGCCCGGTTACCGCACGCCGCGCTCCGCACCGCAGCCGTATACCCGTTAACGCACCGCCAATGTGTGCCGCTGTCGTACCAATTAATCGCCGGGAGATCCTTATCGCCATGGGATGTTTTCAGTCACGGCCTGCACTTTCCGCGCTCTCTGGCTTCTTCGTCCCGGCACCGATGCCCGTTCCGTGTCTGACGGTTTCTCTACGCCTACCGAACGCGATCTTCCTCTCTTCGTTCGCAGGAAATTGGCGTTGCTGGAAAAACGCGGGGCCACTCGATAACGGCGTCTCCGCATCTATTTCTCCCACGAAGCGTATCGGGCCAGAGCCGTGAAGACATTAATTTTCTATTAGTCGCGCGATCATCGTAACACAGGAAAGACGGCTCGTTAAGCCGCCGCGAAAGCGTACCCTATCCGTTCTACGGCTGTCTGAATTTCGAAGCAACGAACGAAGAAGAGAGGAGAAATAAAAAGATCTTTTCGTTTGTTCTTGGCATCACGGGGAACGCAGGCATGTACTCGCGAGTTTGTAGGTAGTTTAGTTGGAACAGGTTAGAAGGATCCGCCACGTCCCATGCCATGCCGTGCCGTGCCGTGCCGTCCGATCCATGGGAACGTCGTTTCGTATTCCGCGTAAGCGTCGAGACGCGACCTCCCCGTGTGTGAATGAAATTCAAGGTAGGTCGTCGGTCAGTCCAGCGGGTCGGACGAGATCTCGGTTGTCCTTGCCCCGCTACCACGCGTCGGCCCACCAGGGCCACGAGGACGCGGCGGATCGACGCGGACAAGATCGATACGCGCGCGTGAACAGGATACGTGAGAACGTGGGAAGATGACGCGGCCTAAAATCGGTCACGACCGACTCGTCGCGAGATCCTCTTCGATTCTAGCTTCGTTTTCTCGTTCTTCTTCTTCTTCTCTTTCAAAAGATTCGTAGGACGTATCGGGAACGAACAACGCCCGTAGGAATCGAGGAAGGTGGTAGAAAAGCGAAGAGAGACGACCGGATAGGGCGATACTTTCGAGAGAAAGCGAGAGCGAATCGAGAGAAAAGGGAAATAGGGTGGAGGGCAAGGGGTTGTAAGGGGCGAGAAGGGATGACGGGTGAGGGAGAGGGAGAGCAGAGAGGAGGAAGCAGCGGGTGATTGATTTTTGTCGTGGCTTTGCCTGACGCTATCCGTTATATCCGCGATTGTGCGGACCTGCAGGGGGACTACGGACGGGTCCGCGCGGTGAAGCGACGACGGCGGGCGTCGCGACGCTATCCACCGATTGGCGGTTGCCGTCCCCAGGGGGCGGCGCTAATCACCAGACCGTGCAGCACCGTGAGTCTCTCTACTGCACTCGCCTCGAAAGCACTCTACCGTGCATCGCTGGCTCCGATCTATATACACTCGCCCGCCGAGTCTACCACCACGCGCGACTGACCCGTAGATACGGGTATACGCTACGGATACACACGGCTCCTCGTTGCGTTCGTTCCGTTGCGTCCTCCTCGCGACCGCGCACCCTCCACCGACCGACAGGATGTAAACCGACGACTATGACGACGGGAAATGGAATCGCCGCCGTTGCGTCCCCTTTTGCCCGCTCTCACCCGCTCTCACCCGCTCATACGTTCGCGAGACAAAAGCTGCCGCTAAAGAAACACCAATTCCGTGGGAGACATTTTTGAAAAACAAACAGACGCGAGCTAATATTTAAGTCGTTCCCTATTAGTACATGTTAATTGGTCGCATTATAGTATAGACAATTCTGCTTTAATTCGAGATACGAAGACCTCGTTAACCGCGTTACGCACAGTTACAATTATCCACTCGTTCGTTCGATCGTCTGCGTGTTCAAGTTGAACAAGTACCCTCGAGCACCGTTTCCGCGACGATCGAGAATTTTCAAACGACCATTAAATTAATCCCGCGGCTGGAATAAGGAAAGGAGGGAAGAGGAGGACGGGATCGGTCTGGTATCGCGTGGAAGGAACGATCGGTGGGAATAAAACGCGGTTGAAGCGAGCATCGCGCATAGTCGCCGCCGCGGCCGATACGCGAGATAAGATTCGAGATAGCGGGGGGATGTACACGCTGAGAAATCCGCGGTTCAATCTGACGTTCGATCGCGAACGAACGTGGGAGTCGGGAATCGCGAGCGGGACTTGGACGATAGGCGCGATCGTAAATTACCAACGATCCTCGAACGCAACTTGCCGCGTGAACAAACGAACGAACGCCTGAAATTGATACCTTCGTCGGATTTAGCGATTCGATCAAGTTTCCGAATACTCCACCGCGGGGGTACCGGTCCCTAGGTTTACGTAAACTTATAAACTAACCAAGCCTCGACTAATTTACTCGCTCGCGCCTCCATGCTCGCAGGTAACGCGAAACAAATCGCGTCGGTGGCGGATCGATTCGAGGAAATATTAAATTATCGTCGTGCCAACTGGCCTGGCTAGCAGCAATATCAAAAGATATCGCGGTTTGTAAATACTTGTAAATATCTGCGCTCCATACACCAGTTCGTCGCGCGTGACCCGACTCTCTAATTTATGACAGCAACGCGGCGCGAGTTGAATAGAGATTGGCAGACCTCGCAGCGCAACTACATATTTTCCACTACTCGAAACGTTGCTTCTCCTCTTCGCCGACGTACCGTTAAAACTTTCCCTCTTAAACAACGTACCGATCGATCGAAACGCGACGAGAGGCATCTGAAAACCGTAAGGAGCTTAAAAACCGTCCCGTTCTCGCGTAACCCAGGCAATTCCTCGTACGGTTCTCGATGCCTGGCGTTCTCACGAGAAGGTTGATTTACGGGAGCGTGGCAGCGTCGACAGGATCGTCCGAGGAAGAAGTCCGAGCGTAGAGGAAGAAACGGGTTGCCGGTGGCTAGCGCACGAGAGGTTCTTCCGCGAGACGATAAGCCACCCGCGCGCTGATTTACGAGGCTACGCGACGTCGGCCGTTCCGTTCCGTTCCGTTCCGTTCCGCGATTTCACGAAATCGGGGAATCGGTTGCGGCCAGCGTGGCGTCGCCAAACACCCGGCAACGATACACCGTTCGTCACCGGGTGCAGTTGATAAAGGCCGATAAATCGTGAGTAAAACGGAGTGATAATATCGTGGACAACGACGGGCCAGGCTAGAACGGGGGTGGAGGAGAGGAGCGAAGCTAAAGGAGGAAGAGACCGATGTCGCGGCTGTAGGTGGAACGGCACAGCGAGACGCAACGCGTCGCGGTGGTGGCGGTGGAGGCGGCGGAGAGAAGAGAAGCAGGAGGTGGAGGTCGTCGCGGAGGTTTCAGCCTCGACGAGCGACGAACGTGGAGCCGGTGGCAAGGGAGGCGAAAGGGAAGGTGAATCGGTAAGGTGGGGGTTGCTGCGCGGTTCGGAGAGGGAAGTTGGGGGAAGGGGGTCGCGTCGGAGGAAACGGTATCGTCGCTCGTTCGAGACGAGAGCGAAGAGAAGAGAACCGCCACCGCCGTCGCAACCGCCACGGGGACAACGTAGGAGGGACCAATGGACATGCGCGGGTGTGCCGCGACACCACGGCGACCTTCTGGCCACCTCCAGAAACAAAATGGCTACCGCGCCTCCTAACCTCACCGAGAGATGGCGATAGAACCTTCTCCCTCTCGGACACCTTCCGATCGCAACCTCCTTTCCTCCTTAATAGTCAAAGTCCTTCCGATCCTGCCCTTTCTCACCCTATATTTTCCTTATCGATCCCGCCTCTTTTTCTTCCAGCTGGTCAAAGATTACACGGCACACAGCTATCCCATCTACATAGGCAACTTTACACCGTCAGAGTTTGAAACGCGTTTTCAGCTGAAAATTCAATGGCTCATTGATGGGTCAGAAAATTCTGACAAGAAAATGTAGAAAATGCTCTTGAATTGCGATTTAATCCTAGATGAATCGTGGTACCTTGCTGAAAACATTTTCTTGAAGATCATAAAAATGGTTGTTATACAGGTGCAAGGCTCAATAACTTCTTAGAATCTCTTACCACGTAATAAACACGGTGTTTCCTGTTTATTTCGTTCATAATAAACTTCAAATCGCACCGTGCGGTGCTGGAAAAGAAGGAATGCGGGTTGTATCGCTATAAGTCCAACATAAACCTAATTCAGTTACGAACAGCAGGATACGTAGATTTTCAAAAACACCCGAAAGCAAAATTCACAGAGACTGGGATCCCATAAGGGTTGAAAGGAAAACTATTAGGAGAACATTGGGCTCGGATCGGAAATCGTCTAGAACTTTATCGCGCCTCCCAATTATACCCGTTCGATCGGCAAGACGCTCCAGAACGCTATCCTGGCGCACGGTCCGTGAACACGGCAACGACAGATAGTCGTTCGATACGCGGCGTTAATTTGTCGAAAGCGTTCGCGTCAGCGCTGCAGTGAATATCATTTGAATGCATTAAGCCTGCTGCGTACACGCGTTTGCGTAATTGCGTGGACGTCGACCGGCTCGCCGAGTATTTCTCGAGATCGGCTGCCTTCCTTTGCAACGTCTTACTCGAACTAGATCGAAACGATTGAACTATCCATCCGTTATTTTACCGAAAATGATGGTGCATTAGAAGCGTTAGCGATTCGTCAGTTTCTAACGGAGAAATGACAAAAGCGAGGACGCCGAAGAGGAGGTCCGGCGATACGGTTGGAGACAGTTTGG